AAAAGTATCAGGAGAACATGACAATCGAGGAGCTATTCACTGAAATTTTCACTGAAAGTGAAAAATTCTAAATTTTTGCAAAAGTATCAGGGTAACATGACAATCGAGGAGCTATTCGCTGAAATTTTCACTGAAAGTGAAAAATTCGAAATTTTTGAAAAAGTATCAGGGGAACATGACAATCGAGGAGCTATTCACTGAAATTTTCACTCAGTGAAAAATTTGAAATTTTTGAAAAAGTATCAGGGGAACATGACAATCGAGGAGCTATTCAATGAAATTTTCACTGAAAGCGCAAAATTCGAAATTTTTTTAAAAGTATCAGGGGAACATGAAAATCGAGGAGCTATTCAGTTTTTAACCAATATTTACCATTACAATTTATTATTAGCCATTTACAATAGAAAAAATTGAAATTATTAAAAAAAAAAAATAAATGACGGCGGATTCGAACCCTGGCCGTCGGCGTGGTAGGCAAGCACGTTACCACTTAGCAACGTGCTCATTCTGAAAATGTAATTTCATTAGTAGTATATCTTCAATAATATCGTCAATCCTATTTGGCAATATCTCACCCCAAGGGAGAGAGGGGTCACAAGCAATGCGCTGGCGTGTCTGCCCATCAGTTTCAGGCAAATTACTATTGAAATATTACCTATTAAACCTTTTTTCCTTCCACTTTTTTATGATATGGAATGCATTCATCCTTTGATGTAATGATTAAACATGGGTAAATAATTAATGCTTTAGAAAGTCCATCATGATTTGCCACTCAATCTATAATTATTGATTTCTATTTTATGCCATATTAATTTATTGGATTATTCTATTAACGAATCAGCTGTATGACAGATGCGTTTGTTACAGTATGTATTATTTCACTCAGCAGTTGTTCTTGTTCACAAAAAGTTTTTAAAAATCACTTCAATGCATAAAAGTAATGGTAGTAGTAACTAGAAACTCTCTCGAATACATGCATCATTATTATTCTTTTTGCCTAATAATATTAATGAAGAATAACTGATATTTCCTCTCATCTTTGTATCAAACTATATCATTGCAGCGATTTACATACGCCACTTTTTTCATCCGTCATTCGCATCATGATTTCAAGAGATTTAAAAATTTATGATTATTATATTACTTTAGTTAGGAAATTGCCGAAATAATTGTACAATTGATTTTGTAGTTCCGAAATTTGGAGAACAAAACAAATCTGTTGGACTCTCTTTGTAAGCTATCAACAGTATCAAAAATATTATGCTTATTATGCTTTTATTGATTTTTTCCCCCTTCACTAATCGCTGGAAGTCGTATAACGTATGAATTTTGTAAATTAGCTGCTGAACTATGAGTACTGCCGTAAAGAGGGGAAAATATTCATCATTTTAATTTTCATCTTTTCGAATTGCGACTTTCCATTGTTCAATTCATTAATATATCGAAGAGTTCGAAAACTATTGAAATGACATTTGATATATACAATTAGAAAATTTTATATATATAGTATATAGTGCACTCATGTCTTATTTACTCTTCAAATCTATTGAATCCACATAAATGAATATCGCTTCTAAACTGGTAGGATTTTTTTGTTTTAAATTGCACGGATATTATGTTGATACAAATGAATAGGTTTGGTATTCAATACTTGTACGATGAGTTTTTTACAAAGTTTTTCAATTTCAAAATAGAGTAATTTTTAAATAGAGAGCGAAATAAAATTGTAACATAGTTTTGAAAAACACTGATTAATTTTATTGATTCCTTCTTATTCGGTTATTTTTACATCATTCGAAGGTCTCAAAAGTCAATTACTTCGTGTAAATAAGAGGAAGGAAAATAATAAAATTATACCATTAAAAGCGTGCAACAACCGAATAACGAAGTTTCGTGTATCTTCCATACAAAATCGTGGGATAAATACAATAATCAAGAATTAATTTTATCCCGTACATCCACGATCCTAAATTAATTGTCATTCCTTGTCACTACCTAAGGAATAATATGTGATTTTCACTGGAATTCATTCTCTTTTTAGATCAAGTTGCGCTTGACGAAAACCTTCACTCACACTATTATAAATTCCAAATTAAACAATTTAGTCTTGTGTGCAATTTTATGGGTCCTTGAAAGAGAGACGTATCTCAAAGAATCTGAAAAAATAGAAAGAAAATATTGGAAATTGGAACGTTTAGTTTTCAGACGCCAAAAGACAAAGTTTTTAAAATGACCTTTCCTCTGGATAAAAGAATACTTTACTAATCGCCGAATTCAGGTTTTTAATTTCAAATTAAGGCGCTTGGAATGAACTTCATCATTTAAGATATGTATATGCGTTTTTCAATTGAATGTATCAAACTGACAATAAGGAGAAATAGGATGGTAACAAAAAGTTTCACCTTTAATTGTTAACTTTTCTCGCCATTTATGACACTTCTTGTTCCTCAACAGCTGCAGACTTGAGATGTGTGTGTGAGCTTTCTTTCGCGTCTTTATGAAATCCCCTGGATACATCAATCATCTCTTTGTCTCCAACAATTGTCTCCATTTGCCTCTCAATGGCATCCATACTAGCTTCGTCAACATTTATTTCACCCTGCGGTCCCTTATCCGCAAGCTCAGAGGAATCATCCACCCCCGCTATATCTCCAACGATATCTTTTTCACCATTAGAAATTAATTCCACCTCCTTTACTTTTTCCAAATTATCGCAGTCGGTTTCTTCTAACTGCGTCTCACATCCTCCGTCTAGTAGTTGCTCATCCTTCTCTTTTAGCATTTGATTTGGACGTGGAGGGGTCAGGGGCTCGGCTTCTGGACTTCTCTCGTCTTCACTTTCGTCATCTGGAGCATTCAGATCGTCTTCCTGGTGTCCAGCTTGTTCTGTTTCTCTTTCGACATCGACTGTACCAATTTTTTGTTTATCGTCCTCCATTTTTTCTATTTCTCTCTCATCAACTCTCTCTACTATATTTTTACTGTGATTTGTATCAACATCTTCATCGTCTGTATCTTCCTGAGGTCGTTGACCCTCATTTTCTCCCTCTCCCTTTTCTCTTTCATCGTGTATATGAGCCGATGTTTTTTTTTTAATCCCATCATTTGTCCCTTGCTCTACAACTTCATTTTCATTAATTTCCTTATTTATCGTTTCAGAAATCACCGGTGGTTGACACTCAGTAGCGGTGGACTCATCGTCATCCTTCTGTTTATCATTTTCCTTAACTTGCTCGTGGGATAATTCTTCATCCCCATTCAATTCAGATGCATCCTGTTCGTCTATCTTTTCCTTTTCTGTCTCATTATTTGCAGTGTCGACTTTTTGATTTTTTTCTTCATCACAGTTGGAAGATTTGTTGGCCTCTGGTGATTTAGAATGTAAAATATCGCCGTCCTGATGAGATTCGTCGATCTCAGGTGATTTTCCAGATTCAATCTCGTCTGTTTTCTCGACTATTTCGTCATCAGCCGGTTTTGCTCTCTTTGCACATTCTTTCTCCGTCTCTTCACAAGTTGCAGATTTTCCAGGTGCTTCAGCATTCAAATCTTGCTCATCTTCTGCATTATGTTCATCAGGATCTCCATCATTTTTAGATTTTTCAGCATCTTTGGTCACTTCTGAAGTAATAGCTTTGGAATTTTCAAAACTTTCATCCTCAATAATGCCCGTTGAAATACTTTGCTCATCATCTGTCTTTGCTTCATCCCTTTGAACATTTCCTGACATTGATACCTTCTTCAAGACAACCCCAAGCTTTTTCGAATGGGTCAATTGATGAGTTTTACCTTCAACTCTACTCTCAAACTGTGTACTGCAAATAGTACAAGTATAAGGTTGATTATCTTCATGTTTATCAACGTCATCTTCATTTTCTTCAGTTTCCTCCTCATCCAGGTATTTCTCTTTCTTTGAAGCCCCTTTCCATTGTGTCTTTGAAGCAGAGGTCTTAGGAGACTTGGATGCACTATTGGAACTCTTATTTGATTGCTTACTGCTTTCAGATTCATTAACCGTCTCTTCAGTACTTTCTGAAGAATCCCCTGAAGAATCAGAAGTGTCGGACCAATGTTTCATTGGTTTCCTAATTCGTGTAGACTTTCGGACACCTTCTTCAGCCATCGGCGTATCTTCATAAGACTTTCTTCGGGAAGTTTTTGATGATCCTTCGTCATTGGAATTTTTCTTGGGAGAAGTTGGCTTTTTAGGTCCCTTAGATTTTGAAACCGTTTTTTGTGTCTTTTTATTATCTAACTCCTGTGATTGAGAGTTCTTCACAATTCTTTGTGGTTTATTTCTCAGTCGCTTGGGTGCTGCAGCTGGAATTTCGAACTCATCTGAATGTCGACGTTTGGGTGCTAATTTTGGTGATGTACTTGGTGTCCTGACATTGCTCATGACACTCATAGCTCTAGTTGCTCTCTGAGGAGTCATCTCTGCGTTTCGTTTAGCCTTCTTTGTGGATTTTGTGTCATTTTCACTGCTCGCTCTTTTAGCACCTTTTCTGGTTTTCTTAGTAATCATTTCATCTTCAGATTCATCTGAAATAATATAAACAACTTCTCCCTTTTGGTCCAACTCTGTTTTAACTGCAGGCATCGAAGTTCGTCTAATTTTGAATTTTTCACCTGGGGATTTTGGATTGTTCATTTCTGGAGGATTGATGAGCACGTCCTTCAAGACTACTGTGCAAAATTTAGTGTTAGGGGTGATTGCTTTCCGTTTATGTCCATCAACCAGTTTCACTGGATCCATAGACATCCAACAATCTTTGCACACTTTTTCCCCAGTGCTGTGGAATCTGAACATGTCTACGCCATTCTCTACCTTCATTTCACACTTGTCACATCGTCGATTGGTGGGTGAAACTGATCGATCGATGGCTTTAGCGGTTCTCTTCACCATTGGGCTAGCGTTGGGAGAATTGTCGCGTATTGGAAGAGATACGGAAGTTGTTTTTCGCTTTATGACGCTCACATTTATCTGCAATTAAAACAGATATCGTGAAATCCACAATTATCCAGAATTAATGGATATATTATGTTGCATATCTTAAATTTTCTTCAGCCAATATATCTATTCACCAATAAAATCTTCAGGCAAATATTTATTCATCTTTAATAACCATAACCATAAATATTGAGTTCTCCTTGAGATTAGCTCGTTTGAAGTTCTACCTTTGAAAGTTCTGACGGTGTATTATCCTTCATGAAATAATTCTTGGCGACTTTCTTCAAATCAGAGAGGACATCTAAATTGTACCGACAGTATAAACACACTGAAATCGTTTGAGTACTCGGCGAGAACTGGAAAACAAAAAGATTAATGATTTAGTGTTAGTACAACACTATCCGTGGCGATTATTAATTTCTGATAAGATTTTGCCTTACGTCATGATCCAATAGATCCTGAATTTGTTCACACACGCTCTCGAGGGCATTATTTTTAATGTCATAGATGAAACCTTTTTTTCCTAATTCGGAGCAGATGTGACAGTATCCACTTCTTTGTCTTGATGGTTTTTTTGCTATGCTATTGTGCACTTGGTTGAATTTTTGAACAAATTTATTGCACTCGGTCAACTCGTAAGTACATTTATAACAAATTTTGCTAGCGTGAAGTTTATGGTTTCCAATCTAAACCCAAATATAAAGCATTAAGTGAATATATTAGTTTATTTAACAATAATAATCAACAATGTTTTCTTTTAAAATTCACTTGGTCAAATTGGTTCTATACGAAAAAAAAGGGTAATTTATGAGGATACTTTAAAATTTCAATGGGTTTGTCAATTATTTCGTTATATTGAGATGTTTGTTTTGGATATTGCAGGTATCCATAACCTTAATTGAAAATTGGGTTATTATCTTAGTTCTGTACATGGTGTTTAAAAGATGAATATGAGTTGCAGAAAAAAAAATACAGATATTCCCGAAAGATGCATGAATTATTTTTAAAACCCATTTATCACTTACTTGGAGAGATAAATTTTTTTCAATAATATGATGCAGGTCCTTCCCGTACGTGAGAAAATCCAAGAAAATTCCCTCATCAGTCGCACAAATTAGACAATTTGGTTTCGACATTTTTATTATTTTACAATATCAATTGTCAGGTTACTCGGTGAAATACGGAGTGATGCTTTCAAATACATGGAAAAATAACGAGTAAAATTCAACTGTTTTTACGACACTAGCAAAACGCAAATATTATTCCAACTCCAACTATTCCAAGCACGCGCAACAAATTGGCGGCAATAACGTATATTATAATACATCGAGCTCCATGAAAGATGGAGAATTCGATTTTTATCGAGTTTCACCACTATCGATATATGGGTCTTCCAAAAAAAAATAAAAATCGAGTACATTTTATAGGGGAGACGGGTAAAACGGACACCCTCCAAATTCAAAATAAATATTCATTAGATTTCGTAATTTTGTATATATTTCCTAATTGAAAAATTGAAATTGACAGAATTTAAAGTCTTGAAAGAATTATCGGAGAAATAAGATTTCTTTGTTTCAGATCTTTTTTTTTTTTATGTAACATGACGTTTATTCAAGATAAAAATATTTCGTTACATCAATTTGATTTCTTTAATTTCCAATTCATGGAATATCGTGAATCAAAATTTCAACAGCCTTAAACAAATAATGCTCCATGGAGCTATTGTTTTCCTGGAGTTTCTTCGGATTCATTGGAAGAATCATCTCCTTTCCAAGAATAAGACCCATAATATTCCACCAACCGATCGGCTTCCCGGAATCCTGTCATCACAGCACCATGCACAGTCGAGTAATAATGACTATGCGTAGCTTCACCAGCGAACAAGATGGCCTAAAACCAAAAATATAATGTATTTATTTTTTTTTTAATTGAATGTAGCATGTAAGAATAATGTTGTTCCGGGGTATTTCAGCCAAGAAAACACCTTTTCTGCCATGATTCTGTTTAGCTGAATATGAAGTATGGACACACAAAGAGATGTATCATCTAAATAATCCTAACCAGATTCCTCAATCATGAAAAAAGCGTGATCCTCATTTCATCGCAAACGTTTCTGCATTCCTCTCAATTGCACTCACACCGATGAAATAATTCATCGCAGATCATTCAATGGTAGTGCAGTATACTAACGGGCTTACTAGGTCCTGTGAGGATAGGTACAGACAGATCTTTAGCCCAAACGTTTGTGCGCTCGGAAGTTAAACTCCTGAAGCTGTATGAACCACGAAAGTGTTTATCCCCGTGCCACCCTGATCTTAGAATATTAACTGGAGCAGGAATGTCAAATTCCTTGCTTAGGAATTTTTTCAGAAGTCCATAAAGTTTTTCTTTCACTTCTGAGTCTGGGAGTACTTCCATGTCCCTTGCTGCCTGACCTGTGACCCAACCACAGAGAATCCGAGGCTGGTAATCAACTGTGAAAAAACCAAAAACTTCAAGTAGCCAATGATCATTATTGGTAGCATCCTCGAAAAATTTTCGCTTCTCGTCTTCAGTCCAGAGAAACTCAAAATCAGCAATGTTCTCTGGCCACCATTGATGAGGAAATTCTAAAAATATTTTATTGACGGTCCCTATATTCAGTCCATTAATGGCGAGCTCCTTTGAAAGACTAAGTGGAGGCGTAAAGAGAGAGGCGTGTTGATGTTTTAAAACCCCCAGTGAGGCTGTAAAAATTACGTTATCTGCGTGGTAATCCTCTCCTACATTTGTTGTAATGATAATATTTTCTGGGTTTCGATAATCAATGGTTTTAACTTCCGTACAGAATCTTATCTTTTCCATAATAGGAATGGCGTTAGAATCGTTAGGATATTCATGCTGAAATAAAAGATATGAATGAATAAAATCCCTTCCAGTGCTTTAAAAATTTTCATGCAATCGAAATGAAGGACATTTCGTACCATGAGAAGACTTAAGACTGTTTTGAATCCACGGTTCTTCCAATTCAGCAGCAAGTCTCCATCACAACACTTGTATTCCGCTAATCCTCTCGAAGATACGTCAAACCAGGTGTCACTGCACTGTATGCTATTGTCGAACTTTCCCATCCATTCTAAAATTTCACTGGCTCGTTTGGAACTTGTGAAACGATTCTTCGTGCAATAGTCATGGAATCTGGAAAATTTAAACGAAAAATGTCGAAAAAAAATTCTGAGTTACAACAACTTTAAATGATTCGGCAATATTCCAGAGAATTTAAAATGTGTTAGAATTTTTTAAATAAATTCTCAAAAATACATGATTTTTCCATGATTATCGGGAAATTTGAACCCTCTTCTCTCTTATCTCTTGCGTATGAGAAAATTTTTGAATTTTTTCAGGAGATTATATTTTATAGAAAACGTGAAATTCTTTAAATAAAATAATGAAGGAGTTGGTGGAGTGGACATGATTTATTTACATGCAATGGAAGTGTTCATTAAAACAATTATAATCGGCGCGAATCTCCCCGAATGATAATTCCGCCGTACGTCATACGTTGACCTTGGGATTATCATTGGAGAGGGAACTCGGCATGACTAACTTGACAATTCTAGTGATTTTTGCTTGGAAATGGCGTATAAGAAGTAAAATTACAAAGGACTTCCATGAGACTTGGAATATATATAAAATAATATTTTTTTTTCTAGAACAAACGATCCTGATATGGAGATTTTAAGGCAGGAACTTCCAGGGCCACCAAGCCTGGAATTATCGGTGGTCGAAATAGAGAAATCGGGTGGAAAGATTCACGCAGCGTATTTATTTGAGGAGGAAGGCATTCCAGTATTACAGAAAATGTGCTTGCTCATCAGTTCCACACCGACAGGAAAAACTTATTCGGCAACATGGCAACATTTTGGTGCTCATCTGGGTCTCAGCAGAGAGCAAATGCAATGTATTGAATATGATTTTAAAGGTCTGCAGGATCCGACTTATTACGTTTTACTGACATTCGTACAATCTGTTGATGCAACGATGGACAAAATATTGGAAGCATTGATGAAAATGGAACGTTGGGACATTATTCACAGACTTTTCGAATGTCTGAAACTCTTTATGAATAATTTATGCAGAAATATTCAGGATGATGGTAAGCAAAAAAATTAAAGTACATACGACTGTCAAAATATAACAAAATCAATCATCTTTTTCACTCTTCCAGACTTTTCTCGACCTGAATGTATTCCCAAGGTTCCACTAGTTTTGAGTCCAACGATTCCCTTGAGCATTCTCAATATTAATCGATTAAGTTCGAAAATTCATACTGCATATTTATTTGGGTCTAGTGGAATCCCGATGCTTCAAAAAATTTGTCGCTCGGTGGGATACACGCCAGCGGGAAAAACATACAATGGGTGGCAGGAATTGGGACTCCACCTCGGTCTCACCAAAGCTCAATTACATTATATAAAAAATGATTTAAAAGGTCTGCAAGATCCTGCTTATTATGTCTTATGGATATTCGTACAGTCTACCGATGCAACAATGGATAAAATATTAAATGCATTCATAAAAATGAATCGTTTGGATATTATCGACAGACTTTGTGAGCCTCTAATGCTTTTCATCAAGCAATTGAATATAAATTCTCAGTCAACAGGTAAAGAAATAAAAATTACAATGAACATTTTGCATTTACGAAAATAATTGCTGATTATCGCTGATTATTTAATTCTTCAGGTATCTTGCGACCCAAATTCGTTCTAGATGTTCCCTCAGTGTTGACCTCAATATCCAATTCAACGGACATGAATTCTGGGAGGATTAACCCCATAGCTGATGAGGGTAAAATTAATAATTATGGAATTATTGTGATGTTGACGTTTACAGCGGATGGACAGGAAGATGCACAAAATATCAGTCGGAAGTTCAGAGAGAAAAAACCAAGGATCGGTGTTGTAACTCTCCAAGAGCAAGCTAAGCTTGTATATTGCAAAGCCGAAGAGTTCATTGATGATTGCTTTAAGCAGGTCAACTACGTCATTCCAATACTGACCAAAGGCTACGTTCAACGGATTATTGACGCCAACAGCTTCTGCTATAGATCTGAAGAAAATTCTCTCGACTCGAAGTACCTAAATTACGTTTACTCTTTGCTGAGATTTGAGTACGTACAGAATAACTGCTACAACTATAGAGTCAGGTATTTGAAATTATTAAAATTAATAATTTTGAGAGTTACCAGTCGAGAAAAAGTTAGGGCTGTAGTCACAGTCGTTAGGAAATAATTTTTTTAAAGATATATCGTAAAAAATGTTATGATACTGGTGAGAGCAGGAAATTATTTTAAGCACCATTCAGAAAAATTTCTTTCGTGCCACTTGTATCTCGAAATAGTATGGATTATTCGGTTTTTAGATGCCTCGTACCTGACGTACAAGTTCCAACAGTGATAAAATCAGATCTGCATCCTACGCTTCAAGCCTGGTTTCGCATGTCTGATATCAACGATTTTGCTGACAATATCCTGTTGAAAAACATTTGAAAAATCATCAACTCACCTACGTATGAAAAAATCTCCGTGAGAACCCTCATGCTGCGTTAACTCCTCTTCTTCAGCATTACTGATGGTGTAGTATAAAGCCCAGATCTTCGAGGACTCCGTTTGGGATAACAGCTGTCCCGTGGCATCAACGAATACATGTCTATTGGTGTCATTTAAGTTATATGAAGATTCGAGGAGTTTATGTTCCTTCGCGAGGTCATGCACGATGTTGTCAACCTCGCCGTGAACCCATTGTGCCCCCAGATCAACGACATTATCAGCTGATACATGAGAAAAAGAAGAAAGTAGGCCACAAAACAATAGGAAATTCATAGGGATGAAAAAAAGTCACGTATACATATGCTATCGAAAATTCAATTGAATTTTAATCAATGATATTTAATTGAAAGTCCGGGTGGAGAGACTGGGTTATCTCCTGTAAATCAGTTTTTTTATTTGGAATTTTGGTGCAATGTTGTATCAAGTAGAGATGCCTAAAAAAATGTCTGATTTTGTGGAACATGGAGCATGGGGGAGGGCTCGGCTCACCCTAACCTCGTACTTTTATTTCCCTGGGGAGGTAAGTGGCCGCTTATCGGATTCCTCTTTCCTCTTTCCACCACTTTTTTTTTTGCACCGCAGTTTAAGATATAAAATCAGAAAAACAAAAGTCTACATGAATTATATAGTTTACCAAAATCAGTAGTGAATATTCTGCCTCCAATTCGATCCTTCGCTTCTAATATTACTATATCTCTGAGACCCCCTTCAAAAAGTCGACAAGCAGCGGAAATTCCTGCAGCACCGGCACCAATTATTACAATTTTCGGTTCCTTGGACATCCTTATTATTCTTTAGTTCTTCAGTAAAATACTATTAAATATGTGCGCACGCAGATCTTTGAGCACAAGTGACTAAAGCCAGAAAGAGGGAGAGAGAGGGCCATGGAATGGAAAAAGATCGACTCAATGGTAACAGGTGGTTTACGGTGGTTGGTTGAATTCATTGCATACCTGTACGGTTGGCAAACCACGTGCACGCCGCTAGTGTCGTACCTAAGTTCGATTTTTTCTATAAAATTTTCATAAGCATTAAAACACTTGCAAATAAAAATGGAACTGTAAATTCACCAAAAACACAACGTTCAATTTTGAAGATAACGCTTCTTAATAGAAATAAAAATGAAAAGGACCAGCGCAATGTGAAAAGTCTATTATTATTACTGTTCATGTGCACTGCAGGAAGAATGAACTCATTAACTGCCCATGTGCATTAATAACTTTTTCGTTTGACCACAATGGAATTGTATGACGTAGGAACAAGTGATCTCCGAGAATTATGGGAGTCTTATCTCGTCGAATCGGTGAGTAAATTTTATGGATAAATCTCATCCGTATGTTCATGAATTTCAGATGAAAAACCATTTTCGTTCTTTTAAAATCCAAATATTATTTAGTAACGAAAAACGAGCATCAGAGAATCGATCTACGGACGCAGATGGGAAACCATATAACTTATATATTGAATATTTTTCCCAAAAATGTCATAGATCTATGAATTTTTTGATACATCTCAGAATGATTTTGAGCCTTAAGTATATCACACAATAAATTTTATAACTTATAGTATACCGGCATGATGAGTCTTCCGCATCTGGAAGACCACCTGTATAAGCAATAAAGCAACAGGTTTTTTTTTTTTTATACACTCGATTTCACCTTCTATTTTCATTAGATAAGTGTTTCAAATGACATTTTAGGCTGTCAGTCACGACGTTTCATCTATAAGTAAAGAGGATGAATGCTGTCACATGCTAAATATGAGCTATAAATCTGTGGGTGTAGTTCTTCGAGACAGGTTGATGACTGATGCAGCATTAGGTGGAGTCCGGCCAATAAAGTTCGACCATAGTTACAGTCTTCTGACAGAAAGTCCCGATTTTGGAACTGTAATTATTGACAATAATGACAAATACCAAGATATCATCTCCAAAGAGCATCAAGCAATCACTCGTGCCACTAGAATTGAGGGTAAAAATTCCAACTCAAAATTCCCTTTAGGTATAGCACGAATCGAGGTCTTGTTAACTTGCAGGAGAATCTCCTACAAATCCTTCAACACGTACATTCGTATCATTGAATGAAGCAGTGATGAAGGGGGAGGAATCAGCTTACATTGAAATACAGAGCGAACCAAATATCACCAAACCAAAGAGCCCACCGGATTTTTCTGTAGCATCTGAGTTAAGCAATGATCACAATAGAATTATGATGATATCGCCGCATAGATTACACGATAAATATGGAGTGCGTACAAGTGATAGTGAGAAGGATGATGAGGATGATGAGGTTAGTATTTGTTAGAGAAATTTGTTTGTGATTGTGAATTACTGAATTTAAATTAAATACATCAACAGAAACAATGGATAAGAAATTTGGTAGAAATCGTTTATAAGAATAAATTACCAATTTAATAATCTGGTGCCAATGGGCGTCAGATACATCACGCTATCATATTTATTAAATGTTAAATATTAATTTGTTGATTTATGACAGGCGACAGAATTGGAGCTGCATACTCAGAATCCAATAAAGACTGAGCATTATCGCAAGCATCGCCAGAGTTTTCCGCCAACACCTCCAAGCAGTACCAGCTCAGACAGTGAAGGGGCAGCTTCTTGCATCCTCGAGTGGCGTGGCGTTGAAACTTCTCCCGCACAAAATCTTGGCAATTTCCGAGGCTCTAGGTTCTCTATAAACGCTCAACCTTCGACAAAATCCGTCCATACATCTCTTATCTCTTGTCAACTGAAAAGTTCAACAGGAAGTTTCATATTAACCGAAGAAGAGAAACGAACTCTCATTGCCGAAGGCTATTCGGTACCTACTAAATTACCACTTACTAAGCAAGAAGAAAAATCATTGAAGAAGGTCAGAAGGAAGATTAAAAATAAGATATCAGCACAAGAATCGAGAAGAAAAAAAAAGGAGTATATGGATGGGCTTGAGAGGAGGGTAACAATGTTAACGGCCGAAAATTTATCTTACAGAGATCGTCTTACGTCACTCGAGGATGCTAATCGTCAGTTACTAAAGGAACTCAAACGCTTTCCGTCCCTTCTCGAACGATCTACTTCGTAGTTTCACTATGTTCGATGTTTCGATTACTTCTTGATCATATTTTCATTAATTAAAAAATATGAATAGAAATAAGACGTTTATTAGATTGGCATAAGAGTCTCTCGTTAAATTGACTTATCATGGTAATGGCTGTAATTGTTTTGTCGTGGAGAATATTATTATTTTTATTTTTTTCTTGATTTTAATCTTTAATTATGCACCAAATATGAAACTCGGATCAATCTTCCTAAGTTTAATTCAACTCTACATACGAATACTGTTTTTACATGTAAAAATTCCTTTTTATTATATTACGTGACATAGAATTGGGACGTAACTTATCACTTGTAAAAACACAAAAGAACAATCTTAATAATTTTTTTCATAAATTCAATGGCGATTGCATTGATAGTCACAATTAAAGAATTTTGTTTTAAAAAGAATGGATATTGGAAGTTTAAGGAAGGAAGCAATTAGAAATAAATGCAACTATCTGGTAGTAAAATCACACATCGTTAAACAAACTCCACTCGTTGTCTACACGGTCAGGGGAGCCCTCATCCCCCATTCATGTCTTGTCTCTCTGTTCTTTTATACAAATGAATTAATTATCATACACTAATCTCTCATACATTCGAATTCCTGGTCGGGGTATAACGCAATATGCGAGGGTAGTAGGAAAAATGTTCGATTATCGAAATCTTCGACAGAAAAGGTTCGAAAATTTTATAGTCAAGGATAAATGTCGAAATAATCGACTACTTTTCCGGATTGCGAAAAAAATAAGGAATTGAGAATAAAAGAACACATGAAATGGGCAAGCGCTACGAATTTACATACTTTTGCCGTAGATTATATTTACACCGGACTCTACAAAAAATTCTGAGATAGACCAGACATATCTTCCCGAAACGCAAATCTTTCTTGCATTTACAAAGACACTCTTTTAATTTGACAAAGCCAAAATTCCGTGTGCCTAAGTTTTGGCGTCATCATAAACATGATAGGTTTCCGAAAATACTATCAGATGGACTTTTTTCTATTTTAAGATTTTAAGCTTGGCTTCCGTAAAAATGGTTTACCATTTTTTCTACAGACCTTTCATATTTTAAAAATATTCGCAACACAATTGGCAAATGCTTTTACACTGGATTTCTTATTTCATTACACAGTTACTGAACTATACATTTTTCTCTATGATTCATGATAATGCACTGCAGGTCCTCGACCTATGGCAGCAACACAATCGTCGTAGTTTTGCGGCCGGGCCAACCTCTTTCAATCACCGCTCCTGAACTCCCTCAGTATTACTCCCCGGCTCCTGCTGCGGCCTCACGATTTGATAAGTTATTAGATACTCAGGATAAGCTTGCTCTCCACGATAAACCACATATTCTGGAAATACTAGTCCCCCCTGAGACGGTCTGCCCATGACACTGTGATGACCTGGCGGTGCATGCGCCATTTTCATAGCGGAAAACTGCAAGAATGACTTGCCAAGAGTCACTCGGCATAACAGCAAATGCCGGTGACAGATGTAACAGCTGCGATCCTTGTGAGCAGGACAGCCCGTTCCCCCGCAAATTCCGTAGACATACTGATTACTCTTACTGCTGTGTTCAGCGAAGTAAATTCCAGCTCCAAACATACCGCCGATGTAAGCGTGTCTCTCATCAAAACCCTTTTGAACAATTGCATTTATAAATGAGGATCCATGAAAAAGCATTCGTTCGTTAGCTTGTGGCGATGTTGAGGTCGAGATAGGTCTAGATACTGTGCTAGGTGATGAAGGGCCTGCAGCTATCATCTCTTCTGCTACTTCCTGTCGACGGTGAGCATACCGCTCCCACAATTTCCGATTCTGCACTTTTTGTATCCTAACAATGTTGTACCGCCCAAAGATACCTCCTGAATGGCCATTATCTCTGTGTTCTCTGATAGTACTCTGCATCTCTTCCTCCACAGCTAGGTACTCCTTATCATCAGCCAACAAATCCACCAATAGTGTTCCAGGATTGACAGCGGGTTGCCACATTGAGCCTACCGCCGAGCTCAATAGCTTATCCATACCTTTGATCAACTTATGCCTATATCCATAAGCTGAGACTCCAACCTGTTTCAGATCGTCGTGCCCCATTTCAGCCAAGATATCCAGCGTAATGTGTTCCTTCTCAAAGAGCTCTAGCAGATGTTCCAGTCCCAAGCTTGCCAAGAATCCAGCGACTGTAGTGACAGCTGCACAACCTCTGTCTTCGGAGGCATCTTTCTCTTTTTCCTGACCATTCTCTATGGATGGCATGGGACTGAGACAAGTGGTGGGCCTGGCCACAGGTACACAAAGTAGCATTTGTGCGCCTGAGGGCATGATTACTGTTTCTTGGGTTAAAGTAGGTGGTGGAACAACAGGAACCGATATAATACTCGGAGGTCTCTTTCCACCAGATATATTTCCATTTGCATTACCTCCAGAAGCTGTTGGAATTGAAGACACAAGCTGTTGAGAAGCCATTGCATCCTGTAGAAGGCATCTGACATCATCAGCACTGGCTAGATCGACTGGGCTCTGTCCCTCCTGATTCTTCAAGAAGGGATCTGCCCCATGAGCCAACAGCAGTGCACACAGCTGAGTCCTGCCCTTCTGAGCAGCTTCGTGAAGAGGTGTGAAGCCCCATTTATCGGTAGCATTTACCACGGTACTATATTTAATCAATAAAGCAGCAATGTCCAAATGTCCATAGCTTGAAGCATTGTGGAGTGGAATTAATCCGCCTTTATCTTGAGAATTTACGTCAGCCCCGCGCTCCAAAAGGAATTCAGCCACTTCAAGATTATTGTAACCCGCAGCTAAATGAAGTGGAGTGCTGTTTCTACCCTGAGCATCCCGACAGTTTATGTTGTCCTGAGTTACTAATCTCTGGACTCTAGCCAAATTTCCTTTTTTGGCAGCGTCCAGGAGAGCGCTGTTTCCTCGCAATAAATCTGCAACATCTTGATCCCCTTCTCTGACAAGATCTAATGAAGTCGCACCATCTCTGTTCTTCTTTGTAGCATCAGCGCCATGTCTCAACAATAGTCTAACAATTTCGCATTTACCCTTAGCTGCAGCCTCATGCAATGGAGTGAACTTCCAGAGGTCAGCGACATTTACCGAAGCTCCATGTTTAACTAACAATTCCGTGACTTCGTAATGTCCGTAAGAGCAGGCATTGTGTAGAGGAACCAGTCCACCTTTATCTTTAGCATGAACATCGGCGCCATTGGCTAAAAGATATTCGACTACAGGCACCCGGTTGTAACCCGCTGCAAAGTGAAGCGGAGTTGAGTGTCTTCCATCCAAATCTCGGCAATTAACCGCATGAGGATTTGCTTGAAGAATTCTCTCCACTGCAGTTAAATCTCCAGATTTACTGGCCTCAAGCAACTGTACTTCAACATCCTCTGTACAACTAGGTGGATTTTGTAATATCTTCAAAACATTTTCAGTAGCCACTTGACTTGCCGTGTAACCCTGTAAAGAAACAATTGTTGGGTCCACGCTGTAAGATAATAAAATTCTAACAGCCTGAATGTTATCATCCCTCGCGCACCGATGTAATGCTGTTTGTCCCAGTCCATCCAATGCATTCACTCGAGCATTATGCCTTAGGAGGACATCCATAGCATCGTAGTATGAATGGTCTGTAGCTATATGGAGTGGAGTGAGGAAGTCTTTATTTTTTTCATTCAACGATGCATTTTTACGAATTAAAGCCTCAATTACCTGTTTTCGTTTGGGATAAGGAGAACCGACAGCGCAGTGCAGAGGCGTATCGCCTGCATAAGGATGTTTAAAATTGACGACATCAGCAGATAAATATTTTTTGAGCTTTGTTGGATCAGCTTGTCTGCATGCATCTAAGAGACAGTGACCTTTGTATTCATAGGCTAAGCGTTCTTGGAGTTCTAGAGTTGGGGCTACGTCGATTGCGGATTTGCTGTGGCAGTTCAGTTGTGTTGGATCGGCGCCTTCAGAGAGAAGTAGCGAGCATACCTCGGCACGTGATTTACTTGCACCTTCGTGTAACGGAGTGAAGGCCCAGAGATCACTCGCGTTCACCGCTGCTCCATGTTTTAGGAGTGCTTCGGTTACCTCGAAATGTCCATAGGAACACGCATTGTGGAGAGGAACTAAACCTCCTTTGTCTTTCGCATGGACATCTGCACCATTTTGCAGAAGTATTTGAACGACTCGAGCTCGATTGTAACCCGCGGCGAGATGCAGAGGGGTGGACCGACGCCCGTCGCTAGCATGGCAATTCACGTTAAGGGGGTTGAGAAGCTGCAAAAGTTTTTCCTCGTTTCCTGAGCGGGCCGCCTCCAGCAACTCGTCTTTCCGGTACTCCCCCGTTAATACTGGCTTTGTTGCTGGGTCCGCTAGTTCGAGAGCGGTTTTTCCTTCCGTATTACGAATATTTGGATCTGCGCCGTGCTGCAGAAGCGCGATGCACACATCTACTTTACCCTGGTGAAATAAAAGATAACATTAAAGTCACCTGTACTGGGTAGTCAAAATTTACGTGCAGCTCTGATAAGTTTCCTTTGTGGAATTTTGGATTAAACCCCTCTCATTTCCACTTTCAGCGGTAATAACAATGCGTCTCGCAAATTTTGCTGGTCCGTATCAGGAGACCAACTATGTATCAAAAATAATAATTATTGTTTTCAGAATTCTATGTAAATGGAAGATGGACATTCATATCAAGTCAAGTTCAAACTCTCGAAATATATTCCATATTATCTTGCTCATCTCTCTCTAAATTTTGTAGAAAAAAAAAATGGAATTTTATGGAAATTAAAAAAACCATTATTGGTGAAATCGATTTTTGTCGACAGCAATAGATAGGGCAGGGAAATTCAAGAGCGTCATTTATTATTTTTCCTCATAATTATATATTCCTATTCTTCACCTCCTCCGGCCGACAGTCACAGGTGACAGGTGAAAGATTTTTCATTCGGTTTCCTGTAAGGGTGGTGAAACGATCACTCAAATTGCCGATTCATCTCCAGCTTACAATTTTCTCTTTCTCTTATTATATCATTACTATTTATGGAGATATTTAATTTATTTTTTTTGGTTTCCTTTTTAATGAGTGCTCTCTGTAATCTGGAAAATTTCCTCAAAGACGATCGATTTGCAGCACATTCCTTCTTTCAATTAATTAAGAAAAGGTACCTTAATAGCGGCCTCGTGCAGTGGCGTATAATTCCAATTATCCCTAGTGTTGGGATTAGCCCCAGCTTCTAGGAGCAGTCTAACAACATCCGAATGGCCAAAGGAGCAAGCATTATGAAGAGGATGGAGGCCACCGTCATCTCTAGCTTGAATGGAGGCACCAGCTGAGATTAGGAACTCGACCAGCTCCCTCCTCCCATACCCTGCAACTCAAATTAACGCCTAATCACCCACTTCGCAATGCCCTGCATCCTCCAAAATCTTATTTCACAACCATTGAATTGAAACCCATCAAATGGACAAGCTTGTGAAAAAATAAATACGAGATAAAGGGATCGATGTTCCCACTCACCAGCTGCAAAATGCAGAGGGGTTGACTTACGTCCAGCCGTATCCCGTGCATTGACAGTCTTTGGATTGACTAATTTCTTAACTTTCGCCAAATCACCATTCTTACATGCCTCAAATAATTCCCTCAATGGATCTTGCGTAGCAGCACCAGCGAGGGAGTCGGCGTTTGTTAAGACTAAACGTCGCCCTGCCATTCTTTATAAAATCACCATTTGCACACCACTGTCACAAGTCCATTGTAACATATATTCAACATGAAAAAAATACTACTTCCCGGAGTAGATGCTCGCTATAGACATTGATCACACTCTCTGCAACACCACCCATCAATATTATTGTTCTATTATTTATTCAATCAAAGCAACAATGCACTCGCTCTCCATTTGATGACATTGGATCCTAACTACAATTATCCTTCTGCCCCGTCCAGCTGGCCCCCTACCGAAGAAACGTTGATTTCCTTTTTTTTCTCTCTTTTTTTTTTTTTATATCTTTATATATTTACAGACCTTTTTATTTACCTACTGAGGTTGAATGAGTGCGCGACTGGTGGCGTCAATTTCGGAACAATTTTCAATCTAATACATTGTGGCGCCACCTCAACGCAAAATTTCTCAAAATTGCTCTGTGGGTATTTCATCATTATATTAATTATAGTTAAAGCTGGTGTCCATTTTACCCCACTCTTGCCTATATATATATATATATATATATATATATATATATATGTATATACATATTATGCATTAAGTAAAAATTCATAATAATCTTAATTAGTGCTGTTCAGTTCGGCTATTGTAGACAAAATCAATGGAATTGCCACAATGAATGAAGAAATTGAGTGAATTTTAGATGAGGGACACGAAAAGTTGAGGGTGAAATCGTGACAGAGCGAGACACTGGAGGAACTTATCTTGATTAGAATGATGTTGCTAAACCGCGAACATGAAGTCTAATGAGGGTGGACTTGGGGTATTTGGAAATTATTGGTATATGAAGGGCATTCTGTACTGGATCTTAGCTGGACTGAGGGTTGTCCTCACCCTTGTGCCCCAAACGGGCTACATTCACCCCGATGAGTTCTTTCAATCTGTCGAGGTAATTGCCGGTGAGTTGGAATAATTCAATTATAAATATCTAACCATCAAATTTCTGTAAATTCCAATTCAGTTGTTAATAAGAAAGTAAAGTAAAATAGCATAGAGCTTCTGATGAGAATGTTTCTAGGAGACCGCTTCGACATCGAGGTACACCGGCCCTGGGAGTTCAACGCGAGCTTTCCCATCCGTTCTACCCTGATCCCCCAGGTTATCGTAGGCCTGCCCTACACCATCCTCAACATCCTCTCTCCCTATTCCTCGTACTACCTTCAGATTCACCTGAAAAGTCCCTACCTCCTGGTGGTGCTCCCCAGGCTCTTTGCTTGTGCCCTGTCCTTCCTCAACGACTACTCCATCTACAAAATATGCTGTATCTACAGACGAAATTATCGCTTTCGGCTCGTCATCTTCGCGAGCTCCTTCGTTATGCTGACCTACGCCACTCGCACCTTCTCCAACACCATGGAGCTCCTCCTCAACTCCATTCTCATTTACTACGTCTCACGATGCATGGCGTGCTCCGAGAAAATCGTTCTCCAAAGTGATCACTGGAGCGAGCGCTACGAAAAGGCCCCAACGATCGTTGAGAGAGTAAAATACTACAAATTGAGGGCATCACTGCCCTCTCATTCTCTCAACCATTGTTTAGTCTTGGCCACTGTCACAGTCCTTGGTATCTTCAATCGTCCAACATTCGTTGCCTTTGCATTTCCTCCCATTGCCTTCTGGCTCCAGCGAGGCCTCGGCTCCAGGAGCGTTGGCTTCTGGGACTTTCACGTCAGGATAATTACATTCATAATCTGTGGTATACCCACTGCCGCCGCTATCATCATCACTGACAGCTTCTACTTTGGGTACCTCACCCTCAGTGAAATTATGAAATTTGAAATTGGCATGAATAATTTCGTTGTCACGCCTTTGAACTTTCTCAGGTACAACTCTGTCAATGAAAATCTCGCTCAACATGGCATTCACGGGAGGTACCAGCATTTTCTGGTGAATGTTCCACTACTGTTCAATGTCCTTGGGGTCGTCGGATTAATCTCCTTCTTGAAAATTATTAACATGTGACTATTACACTTTTATCAATTTTTTAAAGATATTCATTTGAGATTATTTTCCTCAAATGGAATACAACAAAATATACATATCAATGAATAAATTTTTATTTCCAAGGATTTCGAACCGTCACTGGCTGCAGCTCCCAAGGATCCAGAGCATCGAGAGTCTGATGACAGCTTGCTTCATAATTCCCATCGCCCTGCTCTCGATCTTCCCTCATCAAGAGCCTCGTTTCATCATTCCAGTGCTTCTTCCCCTGGTATTCCTCAACGGAGGATTTTTCGGGAATGAGGGGAGCCTAAGAACAGTCGTGGACCCTTCCATCACCAGGAGAGAACCTTCCAGGATCAAATGGCAAGTAATTTGGTGGATCTTCAACATTGCCCTGACGATATTCTACGGTTTCCTGCATCAGGGAGGAGTTCTGCCCTTAGCTAGTCATTTTTCCCATGAGCTCAAAGCAAAACCAGAGCTCACCCACATTCACCTCTTCACCTCTTACACATACTCGTTGCCCACTGCTTTCCTCCAGCTGAAGAATACCAAAAAAATCTACACCAGCAGCACCAAACACAGATACCAACTCAAACAGGATTTCTTCCTGTACGAAGAGGGTAGTAAGGACCTCCCAGAGGTATACGCCGACATCAGGAGGACACTCACCGACTGCGAGAAAAAACATCGCAATCAAAAGATCCCCTACAGACTCTACTACGCGATGCCTGTCAATCTTTTCCCACAATTTATCGAGCACATCCTCATCAATGGTACCAGAGATCTGAGCTATCAGACCACCGGTGTATTTTATCCTCACGTCTCCACCGAGAATTTACCTAGATTTTCCGTTCACTTCGACTGCTTTCTCGTCGAGAGCCTCAGTCTCTGTCTCAATCACTTGACAACGAATTTCTCTAGCGACTTGGTGAACCTGCTCCAGAACTTTGGATTGTTACTGTTGAGAATTGAAGTGCCTGATAATGTTGGATATATCTCGTAGGAAAATTAATTCAATGCTTTTTATATTACCGACATGTTTTATTTGTTGAAAAATTATTTTCTCGTTCATTCAAAATCAACTTTTTTTTTCCAAATTATTTGAATTGCATAGTCACTCTGGGGGAATGACCCATTCAGTAGAATGATAATCTAGTCCTTTCAATGAAAAAGGGGGACGTATAAAATTACATTTATATTATACTACAGTTTTAAAGTATCCCTGAAGATTATTCAATTTAAAATACGTGAAATTCTCATAAAACAAATGAATTTTATACAAACGTTATACTGCGGGGAATCATTCAGTAGAATAACATTTATAATATTACAATGTAGTGCAATACTCCCTTTACGTCATCTCACAAATATATCCCATAATAAAAAAAAGTCTCCTCAAGCCAGGCTTAACTGATCATAAGTCCAGGGCAACTTCTCACCGAACTTGGCTTGATGAACTCTGTTTCTGACGGGATAGAGTCTAGGATTGTCCACATAACTCTCACACCCGTAACACCAGACAGAGAGATCGGTGAAACTCAAAGCGAGGGGATGCTCAGCGACCTCTCCATGGAGTACAGCATGCTGGTTGACACTCCTAGCACAGTGTGTCGAGTAACAGATGAGACAGAGCCAATTCTCCTCAGTGCTATGACACTCCAAGCACGCGCTTCCGATGTCTATACCCGTGGGGGACACCTCTTGGACGAGCTCTAGGTGCGGACAATCTCCCAGAGGAATAACTGCGAACATCTGTTTCTCGTTCAGGGCCTCCATGTTATCTGCGAGGTACTCCTGGAGTGTGGGGTGACTGCCTCCAACTGCAGCATTTCGATTTTCATCAGAACTTTCACTTCCTCCACTTCCTCCACTTCCTCCACTTCCTCCACTTCCTCCACTTCCTCCAGGTGTTGAACGCTCTCTCGTATTTTTTTTTTCAGAGTTACCAGATTCATTTGGGCAGCCTCTTGGACTGTCCAGGCCCATCTTTTCTATTTTTCCTCCTAAATCATGAATTTGATCTTTTTCAGTCTTGAATTGTTCCTCAGCTATTTTCCTCTCGAATCCAGGAGTAGAGACCTCAGGGATGACGTTCTCCTTGGGAAGAGCGACTTGAAAAACGAGATTCGGCCAGTAGAGCCTCTGGGTCTTGAGGACATTCTTAATACTAGTAATTGCACTTGAGCAGGGAGGAGTGGTTGAACGCAGAGGAGGCAAAGGATCATTGAAGAGGGCTTTGGTGCACATAGTCATGGCATAGGAGATGGAATTGACGTTGTAACCCCCTTCGAGAGCGAGGATGATACGGCCATTGGCAAGAGGGGAGAGCCAGTGGGTGAAGAGACCGAAGGCCTCTGGGGAGACTGTGTAGTGCCCCAAGGGGTCCCCAACGCACGCGTCAAATCCTGCCGACACCAGGACAAGCTCTGGATTAAATTGATAGGCAATTGGTAGGACCACCTGTTGAAAAGCTGCTAGATACTCGGCGTCACCCATTTTTCGTCGATTCCAGGGGATGTTGACAGTGTAACCTTTTCCCTTACCAGATCCTACCACATCGTAATTCGCCTCTTTCGAGGCTGGAAAGAATGCACCGTTGTCGTATCGATGGATTGAGATATAGAGTATCTTCGGGTCTTCCTCCAGGATTGATTGGGTGCCGTTGCCGTGGTGGATGTCCCAGTCGACAATCAGCACACGTTTCAATCCATGAAACTCAGTTGCGTATTTAGCAGCCACTGAGATATTATTGAAGATGCAGAAACCACATGCACCCTCTTCTCCAGCATGATGACCTGGGGGACGTACCACTGCAACTCCTGACTGACTCTCCCCATTCAAAACACTATCCACCACTTGCAGGAGGGAGCCTGCTGCTATGCTGGCACTCGTCCAGGTTTCCTTATGAAGGAAAACAGAATCTAGATCACGTCCCTGTTTCATCAGTTCCGAGGGCTTTGATTCGGCTGTCTTCTGAATCGCAAGGATATGCTCTCTCGTGTGGACGAGAGCCAATTCCTCCTCGGTGGCTGCTCGACCCTCCAGAATGTGGCATCTCTCCAGAAGGCCGTACTCTTCGTGCTTGAGAAATATCTCGGAGATTCTCTTGGGAGTCTCTGGGTGGCTGTCCTCGGTGTAATTCAAGTGCTTTAGCATCCTCAGATCGTACACCAGACAGACTCGGTGAGGAGCTCTGGCTAGAATAGTTGTTTGTCTCAGGGATACAAGCCTGTTGTGAATTTCGTTGAGGCGAATTTCACTCTGTACTGGGTAGCAGTTTCTCGTCTCGTAAAATTCTGGTTTCGACTGGTCCCCCTCGTAAATCACCTGGGGTAAGTGCCTGATCTCGTCGTTACCTGGAGCCGAGGTGAGGTTGTAGGTGTCCTGGTACTGGTAGCAGCTCCAGAAGGGCTTGTGAGTGTAAATAATGTTGAGAATTGTAGTGGTGATGCTGTGAGAGGGAGGGACCAGGGGACACACATTGGGACAGGGATCTCCCAGGAGGCCGCGCAGAGTGAGAGCTGCTGACTCCGAGAGGGACTCGAGGCAGTAGCCACCCTCGAGAATCACCGCTACTTTTCCCGTTGCCAGACCCAATAGCGGAGCCAGCAGGTGGGAGTAAAATGCTGGAGTGATCTCCATCTCACCCTCGGGGCATCCCAGTGCTGCGTCGTAACCAGCTGAAATAATAACGAGATCCGGCTGGTACTCATACGCCATTGGCAATAGCACCTGCTGGAATATAGCGAGATAATCAGCATTGGTCATGCCAGTTTTGTTCAAAGGAATATTAAAATTGTGCCCGATTCCAGCCCCTGCCCCGATGTAGTGGTAGTCCGACTCCCTCAGATTAGGCCAGAATGCACCATTTTGATACCGGTGGATAGAGAAGTAAACGACCCTGGGATCGTCGTAGAACATTTGCTGGGTGGCCTGGCCATGGTGCACGTCCCAATCGACGATCAGGATTTTCTTCGCCAGACCCTCTGACAGCATTTTCTCCGAAGCTATTGCCACATTGTTGAAGAAGCAGTAGCCACAGTACTCTGATTTCATGGCATGGTGACCTGGTGGTCTTATTATTGCCATTCCATTTTGTATTTCACCACGGCAAATACTCTCAACGAGATTCATTGTCGAGCCAGCAGAGAGAAGGGATAATTTGTACGTCGACGGATGAATGTAAATGGAATCGTATTTAGAGGACATGCTCTCCAATCGTTCAATATTCTCACAGCCATCAGTCGCTTTGAGAAGATTCACATGCTCCACCGAGTGTTTCAGAAGAATCTCGTCGATCCTCGCAAACCTAGGTTCGATAAATTTGCACCTGTCGATGAGTCCCAGCTCTTCACATCTCTCCAATACTCTGGTGAACCTTTCTGGGCACTCCGGGTAGCTCTCGTCCCACAGACAGCGATGCTCCGCCATCGAGCGCTCATAAACAACACCTGTTGATCCTCGAATCATCTTCCCCGAGTCGATTGCGGTTTGGTAAATATCACGAACGTAACAGCAGTCTGGAGTTTCCTGATTCTTTTTCTTTGCTGCTTCACGTTTCGCTACTATTATTGCCTGCGATGGCCTCACCTGGAAACAAAGAACACCCATTTCTTCCAATTTTCATTAAATTTTAAAATAAATATCAATTGTCAGATGCCATTTTGCCTGTTGTTTGAGAAAAATCTTGTGGATGAGTGATTTACTTTGGCGAGTCTAGATGACCTCTTCCCCTCGCTACTCTTTAGGCTCTTGTTAGGCATGGTCTCGTCAATCTCCTTCCTCGAGCTCTCGATAACTTTTATCAAATGAATTTCACTCTCAGCCAATTGTCTCACTGCGTTGAAAAAATTGTTTCTCGGCTCGGAGCTTGACTGATGAATTGTGAATATGAATGATTAATTCCTGGACAATGATTGTGCGTAAACAGTCCAGCCATACATCGGTTAATCTAATCAATTGAGTTTAGTATAATACATTAAAATGTAATAACGAATGAGACTCATTCAATAGTGAATAATCTAAGGAATGAAATGAATCGTCATTCACTACTGCTTTAATTCTCGTGGAATTTCCAGTTTCATAGGATTATTGAGTAATAAAATGTGTGGGTGGTGGAAAAGGCTAGCCCCTCCAAATATGGAAAGCGATTAAATCGATATGAGTACATCGTAATAATAAAGATCATGAACGATATCCCTCCATCGACTTTTGTCCAATTTAATTACCACAATGATAATAGTTTTCTCACCATTTCTGATGAAGATTTAACCTTGAAATCTCAAATGGTATTTGCTGTCACCCGGAGGCTGACAGTTACTCGACTAGTGCAGGGGTAAATCGGCTGCTTCACATTAATTACTTTTCATGATGGAGAATTAATCATTGCACGGTATTCAGGCGTTTATCGCCTGCTTTATGCGGTTAAACAATTGAACGAATGATTATTCAACGAATGAAAACAGAAAGGGGATCTTCATAGAACTCCACGAGGGCGATATCCAATTGTGAATTGGCTTTGTTGAATTTGGATTTCTTATAAATAAATTGTTCATACACAAAAATTCATTTCATTTTCATATTACATTTGAGATAACGAGAAATAAATGATTAAGACAAATGGTTGGATAAAAATATATTAAATTCATTCTTTATTGGTTTCTGTCTTTAAGATTTTCTTGACGTGTGAGGGAATTTTAGTTTTTCTTCGTTTCCGGACTTTGCCAGATGCTTTTGAGTTTACGGTGATAGTGGACTTTTTTTGCTTCTTCTTGCAGCTGAGGGGATTCGGGCCTTTTTTCTTTTTCTTCTTGACTTTGGTCTCATCCTGGGGGAGGAGTCCCGAGGTCTGCTTCAATTCTTTGAGGATATCCATCTGATAATCTTTGAGAAAGACTTGACCGAGCCTGTTCTGAGCGTTGTCCTTGCTGGCCTGGGAGGGAGGGTCCAGGGTAGGCACCTTTCCATGGAGGTAGAGCAGAGGCGTTCCTGCTAGTTCACGGAGCTTCTCCTGAAGCTCTCTATCCTGCGTTGCTATTATGTATCTTTAACAACATACACGAGTATCACTCGAGGATGTTCTGCTCAATTTTAATCACCTGAGTGTTCTGCTCAACTTTACTCACCTGGATGGATTACCCTTTTTTATCATAGACCTGAGACACTTGGAACCCGTTGTTGGGTGCTTCTCATGACTGCACCTGTGCACTGGAAATTTTTTGACTATTAACATTGCTCCGTGGGTTCGCTGACCCAGTTTCTCGGTTTCCATAATAACACATGGGGTAGTCAGTAGTTTTGTCTCTTGTTGGAAGTATTTTGGCAGCTGATCTTGAATATTAAATTTTTCCTGAAATTGTGTCAGAATAATAAATGGTTAATCATGTTCAGTATTATTATTTCATAATTATAAAGTCTCGGAAAGTATAGATTCCTTCTAGCACAGAATTAATCTCGAATCCGAAAGTGTCTGTGAATAGTGAATTCATTGATTTCTTCCCTCACCTGAAGGGCAGCAAAGCAGAAAGTTCCATCAATTAGTACTTGAAACGGTGGCCTAAATTGATAATTATTCATGTAGAAACTCAGGTACTTGTGCACCTTTTTATATCTAGTTATTTTCATTCTTTATTTATTTACGTGAATTATTCAATGCCATGGACAACTACGAACGTAAAGAGAGACGATTCAAAAGGAGAGTTTTCGGATTTGAGGCTAGGTTTTTCATATTAAAGTGAAGTAAGGTATATATATATTCTAATTCTGCGCGTGAACTCATTTTTCATTCGATCCATCGGTTGTGTTCTCCGTCAAAGAGGATTGACTAGAGTAGAGGCTCAGTTCTGGGGGTTTGAGTGACCCCAGCGGCATCGTAGTACTGCACCCCAAGAGAGGGAGGGCGCAACACGCAACGCTGGGGTGTCCATCAAGTCGACGGGGTGAATTTTATTTTCTGCTGTACGAAT